ACTAACATTGAGTAATTAGAAGAAAAAGGATCATAATAACCAAAGTAATTATTGGAAAATCAAACAGTTGCTACGTTTCATAATATATAAAAAAAGAAGAAGGAACTAACAAAATTTTTTTAATGAATAGTGAGTAGTAGTTTTGTAAGAATCAAAAGATGAATGTTGAGAGTAAGTAAAATAAAAAAGTGATAGAAATATGAAAATAGTTTATCAAAGTTCTGCTACAAATTCCTCTATACCAATAACCGAGTTAGCGAGTATAATTTCATTATTGTAAATCATATATACATAAATGTAGAGTCATGATGGAAAACTAATTGAAAAGAAACTTCTTCACTCAATCCGTTCCTTATTCATTAAACCATCATGCCTAAAGTGATCAAATGCTTACACATTATAGTAATAGATAATTATAAGCATCAAATGGTTTGTTTTGTGTATAAAATTTAGACTTTTGTATTACATTTTGTTGTAAACTTTCTTTTTATATATTTTCATATTAGTATAAGATAGATTAAGTAGAAGTAAACAATAGGGGGACTTTAAAATAATCCAATTTATGTTCTTGAATTGATTACATTTTAGGAAATCAAAGATAATCTATGATTCAGTTAATGATGTTGTTGTCATAGTATTTAATCTGTTAATAAAACAATTTCATAAAACAAACTTATTGTTAATCAATATTTAAATGATTGATACATTTCAAATCAACATTTCTTGACACTTTGTGAATACTTATAAAACACTAACTAACTTAATTAATTACACCTGTTACTCCCAATGAAGCATAGGCCGCAGACCAACATTCTCCAATATAAGACAATAAGGGTTTAGTTAATCAGGGAAAATAAACATTTATTATCAGTTTATCAACTCAAAGTTGAATGATTTATATTATTCAAAAGAAATCAGAATGATTGTTCTGTTTTAAGTCTATACTACTTGACATTGCATAACTTTAGTAAAACACAGATTTCAGCCTAGAACTTGGACGATTTTTTTTTCTTGCTACAGTCTTTATTATGAATGATTTATTGCATGCTAGATTGATTTCAATTTTATAACTTCAGTGAAGGATGCAAAATCTCTTGGAACTCTAACCTATGACAATGTGGCTTCTCAAACTCCTAGTTGTAAATAATTTTTTTGGTTTATGTTAGTACATTTAGCTTAGAGACTGGTTAATTTAACTTTAGATATCTAAATACTTACAATTTCTAATGTAATTACAAAGTCAAAATGTATAGTTCAGTATACTGTTAGCTAGTAATATCTACTTATCTACTGAATAAGACTAGATGTGTGATTTTATGACGACAGTAACTGAATAAAACTGGGTCAACACATTCATGATCTAACTTTCAATACATGATAATGAACTATTACATTCTTGGATACAACATAATGACTGGAATAGAAACTATGTTCATTTTACCTAATAAGCTCGCAGGATCCAAACCCAGGGCCTTCTGTCTCATGCGCAAACGCTTAACCTCTGGACCACTGAAATGGAATCCTACGGTGTTAATGTCTAATTTCAACTAACTCTCACGACTGAACTCTATAGGTCACGGCTTCTCACTAGAACTCCACGAAATACCTCTTGAAACGAGTGATTATTTGATTTTTCTGTATTCAGAAACAGAATGTTTATTCGAAAAGTTATTGTATCGAATTATCTCATAATTCAAATTTATTTCTCTATTCTTATTCATTATTTTCGTGTCTAAAAAATATATGAACGATTAGACAATCAAGTAGACTACTCTTTGGTAACATACTAAATTGTGTGTTACACTTAACCTTTTATGAAATAGATATGAATTTGTTTCTTTTAAAAATAATGATATCTATTGAATTTTATAAGTAGATTTACCATATCCAAAATATGTGAGAGATGGTAGGAAAATTCTGTAAGTTATAAGCCAAGAGAAACCTAGCTGATATTTACATTAGTTCAAATTCCCACATCACATCAATGAGGTTAGATGACAAAAGTAATAGGAGTAGTAATTATTGTAGTGTCAGTAAAAAACCGTTAGGTAGAAAAGATGTGATTCGGGAACAAAACATACTTATTAAAATGATAACAGGAATTTTGATTTAAAAGAAGACAAAACTGGATGCACGATTATAAGCCATGTCACAGAAAGTGTTTCACGAGGACTCCAACCGATAAGACAAAGATTTACTTCATTTTCAAACGAATGGACAATTTTTATTGGCGACTTAAGTCATTAGGAAAAAAATGGTATTATTTGTCATTAAAAATTTAGTGTAGTATGTATACTACTATGCACTGATTTGGCATCTGTTGAGGAACGCTCCAAAAATTATTTTTTTTAATATTAATTTTAAGATATGAATGAAGTGGATGGTTAGTATCTGATAAGATAACCCTTCCATAAAGTTTGAGGAATTTTAGATGTCTACGAACAACCATATGAATAATGAACTCAAGATATTTATCACATTCTGTTAACTGCCTTCAGCAATACAGAAAAGTATTTTCTCAAAGCCAGAGGAAGTATAATGAAGAACAGTAAAGAATAATAGGTAATATGGAAGAATGGACAAATCGTAGGAATAAATTTCTAGTGATCCCAAAATCGTGAAGCCTCTTAATGTAATAACTCAGACTGAAAACTTTCTTTGATAACAATAAAATACGGAAAGACCAAGAGAAATCAGAGGAAAAAGTTTGCACTAAAATAAATGACTTTTGACACCGTTTATCACAGTATCTCCAATAGTGCAAGCTTTATGGGATTCCAACAAGGCGTTTTGGTTCTGTTTATCTCTTCAACTAAATTTAAGAGTTTGACATTTAGACGGGTTAAGTATGAGATCATTAACAACAGACCAATTAAGCATTAATAAAGTGTATATGTCGTATACTATTACTGTTAATAGATTGGGAGCAATGATAATTGTAGGAACAACGAGAGTATTGTTTGAACTAATAGCATTTGTAATAAGTAGTAGTAGTAGTAGTAGTAGTAGTAGTAATAGGGAATCTTTTTCATATGATATTGATATTCATAAGACCTCAGTCAAATAACACTCAAAATTATATGTAATAGATAAAATACTTAGTTTTATATTGATCGAATCGACACCTTCAGTATTAAGATGATAGACAGATTCGCTATGAAATTAAATTGAAAATGTTGATTATTTTATTGAAGCAGAGACTAGTCATATTGTTTCGTAGGAAGCCTTTAACGAAATGAAGAAGCTTTTGATCAACAGTGACTATAATTAATGAGAAGACTCATAGTTCTATATTCTTAGAAAAACTGGTAAATAGAGATCAAAACACTAAAACAATTCAGTGATGAATCTAAACAGAGAAGGAAGGATATAATATCCGAAATACGGTTACTGAATCATCCATGTAGTTATAGATTATTGAGTTGCATATCACCTATTCCGAATAAATTTGAACAAATGAAAACAGTTTCACGTTCTTCGAAAAAACGTAAATTGTATAAAGCATTGATAATTCATGGGATGGATCGAAATCGGTATGTTAGAATGTAAATCATAATGCAGATATGAAAGATATGGCTGAAAAATGAAATTAATTATATACACTCATGAAAATTGAACAGTTATTCATTCCTGATGGTTTTAAGAAACTTTCATTGTGTTGAAACTAATATCATGCACGAAAACATTGAACGTCGGATAGTAGCGAACGGGAGTTTTGATTTGGAGTTGCTCAGAAGTGGACACTCATCTTTCGATAAACAAACTCCCTATATATATATATATATATTTATATAAAAGGCTAAACCCCTATAAATGTCACTGCAAATAAGCGAATCAGAAACCATTTGTTAAAAAAAACTATCAGGGAAAAGTCGTTCATTACTCGACCAATTGGAGTTATTATAATTCAAAGATAAGATAACCACCTTGTTATAATATGAACGAATTTACTTAAGACCATGATGTTTGATTATGGTACGGATATTTAGCTATTCGTCATCTATATAAGTTAGGTCTTATTTCAATTCACTAAATGTTTATAGACAACATAAATGTTGTAAACAACAAGTTTAATATACATGGATTATTCTAAATAGAAAGGAATTTACATTCGAATAAAATTGATGATTGTAGAGTTACAAGTTTCAATACCTTGGTTATTTGCACAACAGCATCCCAGGTTCTTAAAAACATTTTTCTTTTTTCGAATTTTAAGTGCCATATCTGACACACAATGGAAGAGTTGACTATAAAGCTACTCATAATATTTGTATTGCTTTAATATAATTCAAGAAATTTCATGAATGTGATTTGTCTTCAGATAATACATAGTTTAATGAAAGTACCTAATCTAAGTGCTACAATGTGTTGAAAATACCTTAGTTTTAAGTGCTAGTGCTTTTCTGCTGTTTTAATCAGGACTACTATTGATTGCGATGTGTATATTCTAAGAGTATTGATTTGATAAAAACCTCTTATTTCAGGTTTTATTACATTTATGATAGAGCTAATAGGGAATTCTAGTATTCTCATTTCATCATAGCCTATATTTTTCAACTGGATTTACCTGGAAGTAGCTGATTTGTAATTATAGAATCTCATCTGACATTATATATTTTGTTATTAAACAAATTTTAAAGATAGTTTTATAAACTTTTATAAGTCACTATACATGATAAACAATATTTATGATTATTTGAAATCGAACTTATTCTTTTTATTTGATTGGATGGAAATAAAACAAAAGCTAAACTTTTTTTTATACTTCATACATGAATGTAATAAATGGAAAAGAAAAAAATAAATCTTTAAACTACTTCTTCTTATCTATTAAACAGTTAATACAGACAACTTGATTGAAAACTTTACCCTTCTACTTTGAGTATTAATGGTTTGCCTAATGTACAGAGAAGTAAACAATGTAAATTCTTTGATGAATATCATATATATATATATATATATAGATGGATAAGTAGATAGATAGATAGATAATAACTCACTTCAAGATTTTTGAGATAATCCGACAATTGAACTGTTTCAACACCAACTTGACTAGTCATTGTATTGTATTATGATTGAGATAAATTCAATGACTATTGTAATATTAAACGATTTGAGATCAATGAATGTTACAGTACACTAAATAACTATTAATTAATTGATAGAAGATTAACAAATATTGTTGTTTTAATGTTTTAGGTGCTTTCAAAATAAAAGGATATACTCAATTGTTTTTTTTTCTTTTCAAAAATTACACGATCAATGATTTAAGGATAAAGTTTCTCTTTGTTGTTGTTGTTGTTGTTGTCTTTTTTGAAAGTTCACGAAGTAGATTTCTTCAATTATTATAAAGGAGGAATAAAACAAATTTGAAATTTCCTCATCTTTATTGAATGTTAAATGTTTATATTATAATAATAAATATATAATTATTTATATACTCATAGAAATTTGTAAGGGTACATGTATAAGTGAATAGATTTTTCACACACATACACACATAAAGATATCAATGAACATATATACTTTAACACAAGAATAACGAAATAATAATAACCGTGGTGTCAATTTCTGTTCTATAAATCAACTTTGACAAATAGATGTTAGATATTCAACTAAAAACAGTCTGTATGATCTGAGAAGAAACGTCTTTGTTTCTATGTGTAATGTATAATATGTATGAGCACAGTAATAATAACAATTATTATTATTACTAACAGTAATAATAATAATAATACTAGTAGTATAATAATAATCAATCAACGCAAATGAAAACGAAAATATAACCGAAGTAGATAATGCGTTGTTCAATCTAATTGTTAACTTATAACGATTCAGTATATATATGATTTACATAAAATGAGAAGCTTCACTAATGTTTTATAACTGGATGAGTTAGAATTACACAAATTTCACTATTAAACCAATCAGTTTCTTATTTTTTTCTCTTTTCATTTATTGTTGTTTAGTCAATGTTTTTTTTCTAAAACCGAAAAAAATGAAAAAAAGAATCAAAACGTTTTGTGCTAGTTGGATGAAAATTATAATCGATAAGAAAATTTCATTTCATAGGTATAGATATATGATATAATGAAATAAACTCAATGGTACACAATGAAAATTGTGCATATGTTTGTTAAGTGTGTGTGTGCAATTGTGCATATACTACTAACACCTACATATAAGTATATACATATACAAATTGAGATGAATAACTTTGTAGTTATGAGTAAATGTTTGTTTGATTTTGGAGAAAAAAAAATTTTTTTTACTTTATTTCATTGATTTACAAATTTCAACTATGAAAAAAAGAAGGTTCTCTTTTCCGATAGTTTCATTACTTTTCTTTGTCCTGATATGTATATATAACAACTTACAAACTGTATTGAATAATAAGACAATTCACCTTGGCACATAGAGTTACTTCTTTTTTTTTGTTGTTGTTGGTTTCTTGTAACATTCAAAGTGTAAATTCACATAGTTTGTACATCATACAAATTGTAATTGATTGTGCATTTATACTTATATGCTTAATGGTAGTATAATATATGTATTGTTCTAAATACAAATTCAATAGTAAAACACTAATGATTTAGATTTGAGTGGTGAATTTGAAATCATAGTCTAAATTCATAGGGTTTTTTTTATATTTGTAACTATGTAGACATATACATAGATACAGATTTATACTCAGTAAAATATTGAGAAGTCTAGGGTCAATCGTTAAGAATTAGCATACACTGATTCAGTTTATTGATTAACGACATTTTTTTCATTGAAGAAATGTATGGAATTATTTGTAGGCTGGTAGTTGTCGTCTACCTTTCTTAGTTCAGTTTTTATATGCTAATTTAAATCGGTTCCTGATTTATATTTTATTACATAACTATACAATAGTGTAAAATAGGTAAATTACCCTATAAATAGTTCATTTTTACTATGTACCATGATCTCTTGGGAAAGCAACTATACTATATGGATTCATGGTTCTTAGGTATTGACGATACTCATTGATGTAAAAAAAATCTTAACTAAATAGTTGAAATCATGAATCAATTGAAGCTAGACCATCATGGAGAACTTGGAAGCACTGGACGGCCGTTTCGTTCTATTGTGGGACTGAAATCTCCACAAAACCTATTCTTATTAACTAAATAAGATAAAAAATATTTTCTATTTATCATTTTATTCACCCTTTCTATGAATAATGTGTCAGTTTAAAATGCGAATTATTTTCCATTCAACTGGTTACTATGAAATAATAGATTATAGGATATTGATTAAGAAAAAAGTTTGAATATTACAAAAGTTATCCTACAGTATACTCAACAAAATATTTTACCTGTCAAAAATATTCAACTTTTAAAAGTTACTTTGAATCTAGTTGAATTATTCACATGAGACGTTTTTTTGTTTGTTTTTGTTTAATTAATGATTAATATAGAACTGAACTTATTAATGTTTATAATCATATAGGGGGTTTTGTAGAGATTTTAGTGATTTAATAGTTGAATTCATGAGTCTATTAAAGCTAGACCATTATGGAAAACCTGGAAGCACTGGACGACTGTTTCATGTTAGTATGGAACTTCTCAAAAGTGCGCATCCACGATCCCACCCCGCAGGATTCGAACCAATGAGCTGGCATCCAGCGGTGTTTATGTCTAACTTCAACCAAACCACGATACTGCGCAAACGTCCACCATTGTCTTCAGTGAGTCAGTGCTTGACAACATATACTACTGAACTCCACTGGTCACGGCTTCTCATTAGAACTCTAGGAAATACCTCTTGAAACCAGTGTTTCTTTGATGTTTCTGTATTCAACAAATAGTTAGAAATTGATTTTGTGAGTAATATATAGTGCTCATCAATTTACATCTTTTTCGTACATAGAAGTAAATTAAAGAAATCAGTTGAAAAATGCAAATTAGAATAAACAATATATTGGCTAAATATTAATAACATATTGAATGTAAAATATCAGTATTCATCTATTCATATATATGCTTATGAAGTTAATTTAGAAATACATAATTCAATGAATGAAATAAACAGAATACGATTGATTTGATTGTTATTAGCTGTTTTGTATTGCAGATATGAAAGTGTTATGACTTTATAAATCTCATAGACTTTTAATTATATTTTATTGTGGATATTGAATTCTTAGTTTTATCACATGATGCTAATTTGGATCAGTTTTTCAAAGTTGTAAGAATTAACAAAGATACGTTTAGATTAGATGATGGTTTGAGGTAGTCAACCTTCAATTACCATCTTATCTCAACACAGTGCACGCGATATTGAGTCACCTAGTCTGGTGGTCACATTGCAACTTGAACGATAGCATTCGATCTGAACTAAGAAGGACCTGATATACATGACAATGATCACCATCTAATGATCAATCAATTGTAGAAAGGTACGTTTAGAAACAATCAATTTATCAAATTTACTTGTAGATAACTTGTATATCACTAGTATGAAAACATAACACATGTTAATTTAATCTTCAACCGTTTTCATTTATAAATGAATACAACATGACTTGTAATTAATAATCTTTTAATCAGCGAACAACGTTAATTAAGAGTAGGATACTTATTCTTTGTAGAATTTCGTAAACTCATTTCTACTTTCAAAACACATATCCAATTTTTATGTTATAGCTTAGTTTGAACTTGCATACCATAAACTATAAATAACTTTGTATGAACATCTCAAGTGAACAAAATAGACTTTACTGGAATTGAAATTATTCAATTTTTGGAAAATTAAGAAAGAAACTATTTGTTTTGTTCAAAACAAAAGATGATCTCAAAATCATTTAGATAATATGCAAAATACTGATCAAAAGGAAAATTATCTTTTAGTAAGTAAATAGATGGACGTTTTAGTATCCGGTTCATATGTTAAGTCCATGTGTCTTATTCTAACTTCTGGACAAGTCAATTCACATATTCATCATGAGTCATGTTTTCACCTTGTTAGTTATTCAATTATTAAACCTTACCATTTTTATATGAGCGTAGGTGTATGTACACTTCTTATCCTATTCATCACATGCCTGTCATTTACTCTCGTCTGAATATAAATATTGACTAACGCTTGATAAAAGTGGGTTGGCTTACATGCCTTCTCCGCTGCGCGTCATTTATGCTTCGCTCACTGATACTTGCCAATGTGCTTATAACGTTCTGGTCTGCGTCATTTGTTAATAAAACTGTGGTTGCCGTTTCTCTTTGCTTTCTGATTTTGCACACTGTTAATATTGGTATTATAATGGTTATCAAGGTGAACGATTAGCGAAGCACGGCGCTACAACGTAATTAAGGGAAGTGTTACTCATCATGGGTAGCCTTTCGCCTTTGTTTCAAAACTGTAACATTTAAATAATAGGTTGTGAGAATGTTGAAATTCGATTTTTGCAATTATCATAACGTGATCCAGTCAATGAACATATGAATAGACTGTATATTTATAACAGGAACTAATAGTTTTTTTACTCATTTCAATAGAACATCAAGATGAGTACTATTGCGTCTTAGTAGTGTCCATAACAATACCTGGTTAATGACTTTATAAATCACTCTTCTGATAATTATTTTATTATGAACGACCTGATAGAGTCTAATGTTTAGCTATGAGAAAATATTGTAAATTAACTATATGGCAGTCTGAGCAGTCTGACTAGTACATTCCGAGAGCGTTTCATCTAGCTGAAGAACTGTGACGACCCAGATTTCAATGTCAAATATTAATGTCTTACTTCTGCTTGTTCATTTATTGTTTTCTTCAATAGGATTTTGTTGATGTATTGAGGTTACATAGTATTAACATTTTTCCAATTCTAATCATATTGATTTAGGATGAACAAACTTAAGCTGATCATTGTACTGTAATGGAATTACAACCTGTGCATATTTGTCAATCACATAATATATAATTATCGATTTGAAAAACATAAGATTTAGGTAATGGTGAAGTTTTTTTTCCTTAAATTAATTCAGTATTTGAGTAAGTTAATTAGCTCAAAGTATTCATATCTAAAACAACT